ACGGAAAGAGATAAAAACCTCATGAGGACACCTTGGGCAGCCCAATTTGATAATGAAGCTTCCTAGCATTGGTAGGTGATGGGGATACAACTGTCCCTCAGAGGATGGGCCAGGAAGAATGGGAGAAAAGGGAATGCCACAGAGGGAGAAGATTCCTGCACAGATGACATCACGGTAGCTTTTGATCTGAGAATCATCCAACTCCCATAGTCTCTAAGTTTCTGTAAAGTAGAAGACAAGGTCCATTTCCAACCCTGTCAGAAAATGACCTTGGACTTTCCTATCTATGCCTCTTGTTATTCTTATCTGCATTGTTGTCCTATGGCCTCCTGAAACCTTGTTATTCAGAGTGTGGTCCAAGTGGGTCGGCAGCAACAGCATCACCTGGGAGCTTGGTAGAGATGCAGAATCTCAGGTCTCACTCCAGGCCTCTTGAATTAAAACCTGAATTTCAACAAGATCATTGGGTGGTTCCTATGCACATTAAAGGTAAGAAGCACTATCCCAGAATACTAATGCAAGAGATTACTTCTGGATAGCATAAGTGTTCTGATAATAACATAAGCCATTTTACTAAAGATTTATCAAATGCCACATATGGCTTAAGCACTAAACATACATTTAATAGTCACAATCCCTTGAGACTGGCATTACCTCCGTTTTGTAGAAAGAAAACTGAAGCTTAGAGAGTGAGCTACTCAAAGTCACTCAGCTAGTCAGTGGTTGGGCTGCGATTTAACCCGGTTCTTTAACGCCTATGCCTATGTTATACTGACTCTCTATTCTTATACTCTCAAAACTAAATGAGTGAGTAATATTTTCAATTTTTTATAATTTCTTCTCAAATAGGAAAACAGTTAATTCACAAGATATGTCTTATATTCTTACCTTTTAATCTCAACTTCAAGGAAGAAAGTTAAGACCAGTATTTGGTCAGTGGATCACAGATTCATTGGGATAATGATTCGGATAAGATGTGTCAGCATGGAGATCTGAGGAAAGAGCTAGAAGCTATAAGTTGATGAGTGTAGCTATAAAAAAGGAGCAGCAGGCATGTCAGAGATTACATTTCCCCTCGAAAAAAAGACTTGGTAGAGGACAAAGAACACTGGTGGAAGAGCAAGAAGACCTGAGTCCCAGCCTTTTGATGTTCCTTTGACTAACTGAACTTAAAGTCAGAAGGGACCTGACAATGTGACATTAGATAATCTCACGCAAACCTAAAAGACTGAGCCATGGTTCCTTCCAGCTTTAAAAGCAATAAGCATGATCTCAAATTTCTAAGCCTCACCTTTGTCAATAAAAGGATGGAGTTCAAGTGGCTCACCCAATGTGACATGACTCTTTGTGGCGCTGCCAGGAGGAGTTCAGGTTCTGACAGGTGCAGCCTTGACTACCTTATGCCCAAACTCTTCCCAGGCACACAGAACCCCAGCTAAACCAAACTGGTCTCCTTCAAATTCTCAGTACAGAAAGCATCTCTGGGTTAGGCATTCAGCATTGTGGGGTTCGGAGATGGGTGTGCAGGTGGGAGGGAAGGAAGTCAAAGGACGTCATAAATGCAAGGAGAGCGTGGCTCATGCATCAGGTCCCAGGGATATGTGAGTGTGAGGAGCCAAAGAAATGAGGTCTCCTTTTGTCTCTGGGGCCCCTGGTTATATCCTTGTTCTGCAGATAGCGAAGACAGGGGCAGAGGAGACATGGGTGGCTAAGCTTCTTCTCCCACCTCATACTCCCAGGTGACATCCTCCATGGGCACGAAACCGTGGGCCTCATGCTCAGGGGCGATGGCTGCAGGCCTCACACATGATCAGGCCATCCTCTTTGCTGAACATCTTTAGCTGTTCCCTGTGGAGCTCAAACACAACCTCCTTCAGCCTCATTCCTGGTTGCAGCCCTAGCAGACGGAATTCTTCTACAACACTGGCCAGCTGCTAACTAGGCCACAGGTTCCTTGGCTGGACAGGAGCCCGGCAGAGGGAACACATGTAACCACAGTCCTGGGGATTCTCCTGGGACCTCTCAGGGTCCAGAGAGAAGCTGTGGCCACAGTCAATCCTCATGGGCTCCCTCAGGAAGGTCATGCAGATGGGACAGGCCACTTCTTCCATAACAGCATCTACCAATGCTGCAAGATCCATGGTCCTTCTCACTCCCTCCTCAGAACATGAAATAAACCAGGGAGAGATCGTGAGTGCTGAGAAGAAGAAAATAAAAACAAGTAAGAGAAAAAAGTAATAGAAAAGCAAAGAGATCAGTAAAAAGATAATTAATGACTGAAAAAACAAGTTCCTCCTTTGAATCCTTTGTTGACCTTGTTTAACAGGCACTGGCCTTCCCAATTGAAGTTCTGAATGGGTCTCATTACTCACATCACACAAGGGATATTTGGGGATGCTAAAAGAGTGGAAGTTGGGAGTTCTCAGTTTTCATCTATTTGGTCATCTCTGACCCTCCTCTGGGTTCACTCACCAGACCATTCCCACTCCACCTCGATCCTGCTCTCCAAATCAGTATTGCTCCTCTTGAACTTGGGTAAGGTCACATAAAATGTGGTGTTTCATATCCAAAATAAATCCATAAATACACCTAGCCTCACTCTCTGGTATGTTTATAAGTATATTTATATACTTCAATGTACAGAAAAGGTAATGTGCCAGAAGCCTATTCCCTATATGCTCATTTTTTTTTGTCTTGTGTTGCACACTAAAGGGTAAGGCATAAGGGAATCAGCAATACTTTCCCAACACCCTGTAAACGCCTGCCTACTCCTCCAGCACTAACCTTCACTAAGATGCCAAGACACTCTCTCCAGTGATACATTAGAAGCAGATACAAACAAACTCTCCTTGCAAGATAAAAACAAAAAAGGTCATCTGATGATAATGAAACCCATATTGATGAATTCACTACCCCAGCAAGTAAGGGAGATTTCTGCCAGGGACACATATGGGTACAGAACTTGAATGGTCAGTGGCAGGCTCTTGGCACAATTGGCCTTATTTATTTTTTCACTTTGCAAGTTTGTGTTACCAGTTAGAGTCTGCAAAGTGAAGAGCCATGTTGGTCTTAGTCACTGCTGTATCCTGAGAACCTCAACAGGGCCTGTCCTGCAGTTATTACTGAATAAATATTTATTGAATGAATAAATCAGCTAGACAGAAAATAGTTCCTAAACCCAAAATTTTTTATGATTTGTTAGGTAATTGTGAGCATACTATACATTAATAAAAATAGCAAGCACTCCTTAAGCACTAACACTATGTGCCCTTCAGTATTCTGAGCATTTTATATGGATTAACTCAGTTTATTTCACAACTCTAAGTAGCAACCATTATTCTACTTTTCTCATTTTACAGATTTCTGAGGATCTGCTATAGCTCTTAATGCCTCAGCTGGAGCCTGTTTGAATCCCTGGGGAAAGTGGTCCAGCTGTCCGCATTGGCACTGTCACACTAAGCTGTTTCACCTCATGCTGGTGTTATTTAAGTAGCTTCTCTATTGCCTTATGCATTTTATTGTCCTTTCCCTATCAATATTTCACAGGGTTGTTTAGCTTTACAACCTGGCCAGTCCTTTGAATTATCCTATAGGAAACATAGACCCACAGGTTTTAAAGTTTAAAGTTTTAAGTACAGCAGTTTTGGGTACTAGTTCTCTTGCAAGTTTGAAGACTGAACCTCTAATAGATGCTAAGCCTAGCAAATGGGCACTAGACCATCCTCTGGTCATTAGGAATGTGCTGGCTGAGGAAGGCACGAAATGCTCCAATCCTCCTCCAAAAGACAACAGAAGGCCTCTCACCATTCACATCACTAATGACTGTGTCTCTGCTGAGGACTTGGGGAACTGGGACCATGTAGTATTAGCTCTTGATTTTTCATATTTCCATATATCTCTATATCCTTTGCCATTAAAAAAAAAAAAAGAATAAACTTTGTATCTTGTTCCTGTTGGCTTCTTTCTCTCAGCTTTATTCCTGCCCCATGATGATGCCCAGGCAGAAGTCAAGACATTCAAAATATGGCCCATTCGCCTCATAGCCTCATTCTCTTTCAAGTACCCTGCATTCTACCTTGTGTGGTCCATTCTCTGGAGAATATGTTTTCATATCCTATCTATGTTCTGTGGTCCAGGCCCATTCCCCAGTTTGACAAGTTTATCATCCTTGGTCTTCCTTACATTCTGTTTCCCTTCTTTGTTCACAATAGGACTTTATAACAAGGTGTCATGAGAAATATTTAACCAGTGAAGCCCACCATGAGTCCCCAAGCAGAACTGAGGAAGAGTGAAGTGGACATTGAGAGATTAAGTATACTATCAGTGTGACTAGTTCTACCACAAAGTGAAATGAATTATGATTGCTAGAATTTGAATCCCTACTCTCTGGCTTACTAACTTGGTGACCATCAAAGCACCTGCGTTTCATCTATAAAATGTGGATGTAACAATGGCAGCTACTTTAGAGGTTTGTGGAAATTGAATGAGATAATCTTTGAAAGCATTTAGCAGAGAGCTTGGCACATAGCAGGCTTTCACATTTAACTCATCTTGGTTCTTTTGTTTTCTTTGAAGGATGCACTTCATATTCTTCTCTTAGGTATCCTCTGAGGATTGAGAAACAAAGACTCTTCAGCCACTAAACTTCTTCCTCCTTCTGCAATCTGGAAAGCCCCAGGGCCCAGAGCACAGAGAAAAATCAGTCTCTGGAGGAGTTACAGTGTTTGGCTGCTGGGCAGAGGCCAAGAGAAGCCAGGGTGTTCAGGGAAAAGTCAACGTGTTTGAGAATCTAAAGGAGAAAGAGGACTCCCAAAGGAAGGTCTTTGAAAGTGACAATACTCCTCACCATGACTGTATGTTTTTCACCTTTGATCTTCTGTCACTTTTCTTGCTCCTCCTGAAGGGTCTTGTGCATAACCCTGTTATTTTGAGTGAAAGAAACATGGACACATCACAGGAAGTCAAACAGAGAAAACTCCAGAGATGTAGGTAACTGACGTGGGGACTGGGTGTTGGGCTGATGGTGTCTCAAGGACAGAGTCACTCTATAGAGGAGAATATAAACCCTAGATCTGTCTAAAGGGTTGGCCAGGCCTGTTGGGTACTTCTGATACCACGATCACCTTCTGGAAATGATGAGATGATGGGGGAGAGAGAGGGAAAAGGAAACACATGACTAGTTTGGTTCAAAGCTGGGAGAGAAAGAAGTCCAACCTTGGAATGATGGAGAAAGTGTTTTCAGGGACCAAAGGGAGTTATGAGAAAGAAACCAAGCAGTAGGACTGATTGGCAGTATGTTTATTTGTTAGTAGAGGGAAGCATAGGGTTATCATAAACACAAAGGATCCCTCAACGAGTCATGCACTACCGCTTTTACCTTTTAGACAATTTTAATTTGAATTGTTTATTCTACATTCCTTAAATAGGACTGAAAACTCCTCACATATCCTATCATTTAGTAATTGGAGTTAAGGGACTTGTCTAAACTTTTCTTTAGTGATTGGCTCTCCAGGTCTTCATGTGAATGTCTCTACAGGGTTGAAGGCAGAGGCAGGTTCTGGGTTGGAAATGTCTTAGGATTGCTTGGCCAGAGCTTTCTGAAGAGCATCTCAACAACTGGGAAGCAATTGTGTCTGTATCGTGATCTGGGTAGTGGCTATGTGGGTGTGTTTTTGTGTTCATTTTATAAAATTTATCAAGCTGTACACCAGAAATTTGTGTACTTTTACAGGTATGTATGTTATACTTCAATCCAAAAGTTAACCAAAAAATGAAGAAGCAGGCAGTAATGCTAAATGTTTTGGATACGTCAAGTAAAACAACAAATGAAAAGGAATCACAGGCTTGGCAACAGATCATTGATGGAGATCACTGTTGATCTTAGAAAGAAAATTTTCAATAGCAATAGATTAAAGAGTGAAAAAAAAAAAATGATGACCAACCAAACCAAAGTTCCTGTCATTTGAAAAGACTAATAAAATATGTAAACCTCTAGCAGTGCTAATTAAGAAGAAAAAGAAAGAGGAAAATACAAGCTTCAAGGGAATGAAAGTTATGAGGACCTAAAATTTGCCAGGGCTGGAGAGAGGAGGGATGGGTAGGACACCAGCTGAGACTGTCCTCAGAAGAAACGTGGATTTATACAGAGTAGGATCCAGGAGAGGAAGGTCCTGGATCAGAGGTGAGTGTGGGGAGGAGGGATTCTGATTCCTTAGGCTTTTCTTCTGCTCTTTGTTCAGTGATTCTCAACTCTGAGTTTATGGCATCCAGAAAACACATAGCAGTGTTAAGGTTATCCTGAATTATTTTTTCCACTCCTCACTATCATTCTACTACAAGAAGCTTTCCCTTGTCTTCTCATGATCTACCACTGAAGATGTCTCACCTAGTGACTATACACAGCAAGCTTCTTTTAATCTGACCATGAAGCAGAGCTCACTACTTTATTCAGTCTGTTCTATTATCAAGTATTTCTTACGTTTAGGTTTTTTTGTTGATGGTGATGGCGGTTTGTCTGTTTCAATAAAGACTACAATTTGCAATCGTATCCCAGAAATTTGGCTTTTTAGAAAACTTCTGAGGACTCTCACCAAGGCTGCTGTTGGTACCTGGGTGTGGAGTCAATCAGTGCTTGGTTCTCCAGGGGACAAATGGAAGGGGAAAATGTATGTCACAAGGTTAGTTTTGAGAACCAGGTGAATGCTTGTCTAGTGCTTGGTTAACAGAGAAAATGTTACTGCAGCTGATGGGATCTTGTGGGTACTACTCCATCAATGTGATATACCCAATTATTTGGAGAGGTGCCCATTCCCTGATGAGAAATTAAAAATGGGTAAGGACAGACAGTGACCAAGGGTAGGAATATGGGAACTTCTTAGCCTGGCATCCCCTTATCAGGAAATGATAGATAAAGGCAGGCTAATCTTGAGGCTTGGCAAATAGCTCCCTTCATTTAAGATGCCTGGAGACTTGGAAAACAGTTCTTGGGTAATATATGAGTATTGTAAAATCAACATAAGTGATACAGTTGATGTGGTGACCCACTAGACTGAGGCATTGAGAGATGCAATATTAGAGCAGTAAAGGTTTGAGGAAGGAGAAGATCAATTGTACTTAATATAGTCTGATCCACACCTGTGACCTTGAGTCCAGATTTGAGACTAAGCCAAATATCCATTTTCCTAGGAAGAGAAATGATCTGATTTCTATGGAAAACAGTTGAAGCAGTAATTTAGCTTGGATAAAGGATATTTGTCATACACACTTTCACTCTACTCTTAATCCCATTTCAATTCGTCGAGAGTTGTTGCATGGCAGCAGAGGAGTTAACCACTCTTTGGCTTTCTTTTTAAAGATGGGATATTGGCAAATATAAAGAGAAATGTACACAGAAGTGACGAAGAGAAAAACAAGCAAGGAACAAAAAGAGCCCCAAACAAACAAAGCAAAACCCTCAACTTGGGAACTGACCTACAATGGAACAGATTCTGAGCTCTTCATCACAGTCAGATTAAAAGAACCGTGCTGTGTATATTCACTAGGTGGCACATCTTCACTGATAGATCATGTGGGAAAAGCTTTAGGCAACGCAGGGTTGAGTTGTCTTTTTCTTTTTTTTTCAACTTGGCCTCCTTGTCACACATATCCATTTGAGTGTGCTTTTTAGAGCAATCTAGAACTACAGAATTAAAAAATTTTTTTGTTTAGCTATATTTTTGTCAGCTATATTTTATTGAGCAACTATGGTACATGCATGATGATAAGCACTTTTAAATAGCTTCTCATTTAGAGATCAAAACATCTGTATCATTCATATTAGCCCCATCTTACTAAGGATCAAAATAAGGCTTAGAGACTTGACCAAGGCAAAACAGCTAGCAAGTGTCAGAGTAGGGTTTTCAGTGTTGGGAGTATGTATCTAGAAACAAAGCTTTCAGCCACTTTTCTATCTTGCCTCTTGATGAAGTAGGACCAACAACACATTCTGAGTGGAGTACATAGAAGTACGCAGCATTCTATTTCCATTTCTGTACTCTGAGGAAAGAGAAACTAGAGGTTCTTTGAAGTTTGAACAACATCTCCAAAGCCTGAGTGATACCACCAGAAGGGCCCCTTGTAAGGAGTGGTTAGAGGAATGTGCACATGCCCAAACACCATATGAAATCATGGAAACCATCTATCTGAAACTGGAAAGTCACTAAAGGGATATCACAGAAGAATGGAATGGTAGTTAACACTGATGCCTTATCTTCAGGTTTACCCAACTAGACTATTACACATTATCTAATATGGTAACACCTGAGTGAGGCAGATGGAGACTGAATGCAGCAAAAAACAGAAATCAACAAGCTCCTGGCTGTGCAGAGTAGTGCACATCTGTCCCATCAAAACTGGCTGAGACCGCTATATATATATTTTTCCATTACCATAGTTGAATTCCTGACTATCAGTCTCAGGCTAGATGGACACATGGTAGTCACAGGTGTTAAAGGAGCTGGAAAGACCTCGATTTGAATCTCAAATTTACCACCCACTTGTTATATGATCTTGGATGAATATTTAATCTCATATTTCATTATATCAATTGTCTTGTATGGAATGGACATTGTTCTATTTTACAAATGGCTAAACACACTTAGATTATGAATACTATACTTTCCAAGATAGTACTCTTACATACTTTGTTCATTAAAGAGTGCTTTCCTTTCTCAAGGATAAAGCTTCCTCGTTGTTTGTAATGTCTTGGTAGTTCACCATGAAGAGTTATCCATATTGAAGAATCATAAAAACCTATTGGAGTGTTCATCTGTAAAGGAGCCCTAAATTTTTATTTGTAGTTATTTAATGTCTTAATTGAACCTAGCTCAATAGGAAATCCAGGCTGAAATTAAGAGAAGCTAGGGATTCTAAATATTTACAGGTGGTTTATTATATCCTATGGAAAATTATAATGTTGTTCTCTAATGACCTTATTTTCCTGAAGCCATTAATCTGTTTCTTCAATGAGAAGGATGCTTCATCCATCTTTTGTCTAGACACTATACTAAGGATACAAAATGTGACATGTTCAACCTCAGGAAGTTCATGGTTTCCTTCAACACATTAAATATTAGGAACCGAACATAAAAGATAGAAGAAAAACTCTTTCCTCTGATTTCTCATTCATTCATTCATTTAATTGTTTGCTATAATGAGTACACATATCTTCTTCTAATGGACTTCTGCACCACAGCTATGGGTCACACATTTGGTATAAGGTGTAAGGTTACAAACAAAACAGACAGGAGTGAATACAATAAAATCATATGTAGAATATTGGAATTGTCAATTGAGGTCACTCAGATGTCAGCATGGAGATTCTATAAAGGCTCAGAAGGTACCTAATTTCCTTTTAGCATGGAATGGGAGAGGAGGTAGAGCAGAGAAGACTTCCCAAAGGAGGTAAACAATGAGCTGATATTTGAATTATAAATAGAAATTGGTAACGGAAAAAATACCGAGGAGGATGGAAGGTGGAGAATAACTTTGTCAGATGTCAGTTTTCTGATCCTGTGGTCCACTGAGCTAAGAATACCACCAGGCTCTCCCACACCACAGCCGGGAACAAGTCTCACAAAATTGCATCCTTTTCTTACATCATTTTATGCATTAACAGGAAAGCAGTCTCATCTATGATGCTGGGGCCACACTATAACCACACAATGAAAACCCTTGCCACCTTCTTCCTTGTGGGTATCCCAGGTCTGCAGTCTTCACATCTTTGGCTGGCTATCTCACTGAGTGTCATGTATACCATAGCCCTGTTGGGAAACACCTTCATAGTGACCATAATCTGCATGGATTCTACTCTACGAGAACCCATGTACTGCTTCCTGTGTGTTCTGGCTGCTGTGGACATTGTTATGGCTTCCTCTGTAGTGCCCAAGATGGTGAGCATCTTCTCCTCAGGAGACAACTCCATCAGCTTTGGTGCTTGTTTCACTCAGATGTATTTTGTCCATGCAGCCACGGCTGTGGAGACAGGGTTGCTACTGGCCATGGCTTTTGACCGCTATGTAGCCATCTGTAAGCCCTTACACTACAAGAGAATTCTCACTCCTCTGGTGATGATAGGAATGAGTGTGGCCATCATCATCAGAGCTGTCATACTTGTGACTCCATTAAGTTGGATGGTGAGTCATCTACCTTTCTGTGGCTCCAATGTGGTTCTCCATTCCTACTGTGAGCACATGGCTGTGGCCAAGTTGGCATGTGCTCACCCCATGCCCAGTTGTCTCTACAGTCTGATTGGTTCCTCCATTATTGTGGGTTCTGATGTGGTCTTCATTGCTGCCTCCTATAACCAGATTCTTCAGGCAGTATTTGGTCTTTCCTCAAAGAACGCCCAGTTGAAAGCATTAAGCACATGTGGCTCCCACGTCGGAGTTATGGCACTGTACTATTTACCTGGGATGGCATCCATCTATGTTGCCTGGCTAGGGAAGAACACAGTGCCTTTGCACACCCAAGTGCTGTTAGCTGACTTGTACCTGGTCATCCCCTCCACCTTAAACCCCATCATCTATGGCCTGAGGACCAAACAAATACGGGAGCGAATATGGAGCAGGCTGATGCACTGCCTCTTTGACCACTCCAACCTGGGTTCATGAACACAAAGTCTGCTAAGACCTTCAGCATTCCAGCCAACTTCAAAGATGCCTTACAGATCTGTGGAGCTGGTTTCCTTTACCTGGTGCCATAGGAGCTCTAAGATGAAGCTCTGAAGGATAAACTTGTATAACTTTTCAATTTCCACAAAGAATCTGAATGAAATGATTAATTTTCTGACAATATTTTTTTTGTGGAAGTTCTTTTTTTTTTTTTGTGAGGAAGATCAGCCCTGAGCTAACATCCATGCCAATCCTCCTCTTTTTGCTGAGGAAGACCAGCCCTATGGCCAATTTTCCTCCTTTTTTTCCCCCAAAGCCCCAGTAGATAGTTGTATGTCATAGCTGCACATCCTGCTAGTTTCTGTATGTGGGACGCCGCCTCAGCATGGCTGGACAAGCAGTGCGTCGGTGTGCGCCTGGATCCGAACCCGGGCCGCCAGTAGTGGAGCGCACGCACTTAACTGCTAAGCCACAGGGCCAGACCCTCTGACAATATTTTTAATGGTTTCAATCAACTAGTGTCTCAATCAGAGAGAAGTGTGGGCAGAATGTATAGATTTGGGGTTTTTCTTTTCTTAGCTTCTGATCTATATTTCCAACTTAATATCCTACCAGTACCTAAGCAGAAGAAACCAACTGCTTGTTCCCCCTACACCTGGCTGATTTTCTCAGAATTGTTCATCTCCTCACGTGTTATATGGAAACAGGTGTTAATATATGACCCTGCCTTCTGGCCCATTGATGAACCCACTCTATTTCGGTTATGTGCTCTCAGCTGGACCAGAGTCCTTCTCCAGTCAAAATGGATTCCAGTTTATCTGAGGAGATATATACTTGGATCACTGATGGCGTCCATTTTGCAACACATGAACTTAGAAAGAAAAACCTGTTCCACAGCAAGAGAAGCAAATTAGAAAAATGGGTGAAGAAACTGAATCTCTGATTCTCTGGTCCCAGTTCATTTTGGACACCCAGGTGCGTTGTTATTATATTCTGTAAAACACCTCTACATCTTTTAATATATTCCCCACTGTTCAGCTAGTTGGACTCAGTGTACTAATCACCAGCTTTTGTTTTTAAGCAACAGAAGTAAAGACAATGTGAGTTTGGTTTTTGACATCTTTCTCTTTGCTTCCTAGGCTTGCTTGTATAACTGACCTGTAAGACACAAAAGAGAGTGATCGAATACAACACACATCTTTCTTCCTCTGGACACCTCTAAGGAGGTGTGCCCTGTGATGTAAAGGTCAATAGAGAACAATATAAATAAGGAAGTTGAAATGTCACTACTCTCCCCCAGGTCACCAGACACTTATTTCGTTTTTGTTTTTATTTTTCCCTTTCAGAAAGTCTTAAACTGAATAATCAGTATATGTTAAAAGAAAAAGATTTCATATGTAAGAGAGATATAATTGACTGCGGTACACTGGAAAATCTTAATAAAAGATAATTTTCCAATTGTATTGATACCAAGCTATTGTACCTGAGTCTTAATATTGCCTTTCTACTGATGGGGGAAACAATGTTAATTCAGAAAGTATTGAAAATTAAATAAAATAATGAATGGAAAGCACGAAAAGAACATGGAAACATCGTATGTACTTAAAAAGTATACCAAATATATTTCTAATTCCATAATTTTAAGGGTTAATTTTAGGCACTATTGAAACTGCAGTCCTGTGTAGATCAGTACTCACAGGATAATTCTTCCAAACAGATCTGCTGCTTAACAACTCAGCATCCACCCCTTTTACTAAAGTTGGGCTTGTTTACCTACGAGAATGTATTCTATTTCTGAACACAAGTGGGGTACGATTCAGCCTTTAAAACTCTGATAATGATGCACTGAGTTGCCAAAGAGTAGTAAAAAAAAAAAAAAAACAAAAAAAAACTCTCCTCCCCTTGCAAGCCCCTGACATAGAAACAAATCAAGATCATGACGTGGTAAGCATATTTGATAAGATATCCATTTTGAAAAGTCACACTATTCTTTCTCCATAAGCAACCCAAAAAATTATGTCCATTAAATCAAAAAACATTAGATACGTTAAAGAATCGATGTAAAACAACGAAAGTATAGTCCAGCCTGAGTTAATACAGAAATTTCTTCCCAGAATTTCCATCAGAAGAAGTCTGCCCTGCCAGCTTTGTGTTTCACTCACATTATAATCCCTGAAACTAGCTGGGATCCACTGATGATACTCAAATATTGAACCACATACTTCCCAGAGTGGACTGGTTCCCTGCCGTGGCTACTCTGAAACAAAATGTCCTGTGCTTCTCCCAATACATTCAGATCCAACTCCTGCCCTATCACAAGAAGCAGTATGTGCTTCTTTAACCAGTGCCTGGGACCCACAGTAGACTCTCACTGTTTGGAACTTGAGATTACAACCAGTGGTCCTTGAAAAAGAGAGAGACTGGATTTCCTGTGGGGAGTTGTGAACCCAAGGATTTGCCCTCTGTCTTTACCTTTGGCAGGACCCAAGCATCTCACCATTTTAGTGGCCTTCCCCTTCAAGGCTCAGGCATTGCACCTCTTGGTTTCTCTGGTATTAAAACAAGGATGAGCAAAGCTCATCTCTGCCTTGTAGTGAATGATCCCACCAAGTCTGAGGTGTCACCCCAGGCATTCCAGGAAGTGGTGCAGGCACTCTATGGCTACCTGCCCCACCCCTTCTGGACCACTTTGAAATTATCCATCAAAGTAGTTTTTGAACAGGATTATAATTAAGTACCATCCAGTTTTTCACGCCCCTGAGGCAAGAAGAGCTTACTCTTGTTTTGATTCCAGGCATATGAATGAAAGTTCCCTCACTTAAATATTTATACACGCGCACACACACACTAGACTGGGGCTACAATGGTGAACCAGACGAATAAGGTCCTTGTCTTCATGGGGTTCTTAGAAGGCAAGAGTAATCAACTACCCTAGAGAAAAGGGATTTCATATACTTAAGAACTTGAGTCTCCTTGCTTGGTCTTCAAATCAGAGAATATAAAATAATGTGTTTAACCTTGTAATTCTTCTAACAAGTAATCATAGCACCCAAATCAGCTTATAAACGTAAAAATAAATAAATAAATAACGTTACAAATGGAGCCATTTCAGACATTAATTCATTCTAAGTTTGAATGAATTTATCACCTAATAATCTTCTTTTGCTAGGAAACTTCCAAGATTTGTCCTAATAAAACCACAGTAAAAGAACCACAGTAAAAGAATAACACTGATTTGGCCTGTAGCCTCTTCTGCTAAGTGTCCATGGACATAACTGGAAGCACTTTCTCAAGATCCATTTCTCAACTCTATAAACAATTCCCCAGGGAGTCCCCACACACAAACACACAAGGTCCCTCTAATGTAGGTCATTTCAACCCTTTGCAAGACCTGGTCTGTGACTGACTATTTCATTCCCCTCCAAGCAGATGATGGAAACTTCTCCCCTTCTACTGCTAACAGTCAAGGAGCAACCTAGAAGCATGGTGGGTAGAGTGAGTTTATTTCTCCATTTGGGCCCATTTTACCTCCTTCATATGTGAACAGCCAACACAACGAAAGCAGAAAGACGATTTTTGGTAATCTTTATTATAGGAATTACTTTGCTTTTGCCTATACCTAACCTTGTATCCATTTTGCTGCCCAATCCTAACCCACAGTCACTACCTTCAAGTGTAAACTACCTCAGAGGTTGTGTTACAACATCACGGTGACAATATGTAATGGACATACTGCAGCCCTTGCAAGAGGCAAAGCCATTAGTTCTCATATGCTTGCTTTGCAGTTTGTTTCCAGCCACAATCATCCCCACGTCATAAACTTCAGTCCTGTAATGAATTATTTTTGCCACATACAATCACTTTAACATCAAAAGCCCAGATATATAGTCTTAATTCCCTTGCATATAATATATGGCCCCCAAACTGGCATTTTGTGCCTAGTCCAATTTCTTCTCCCCACCCTTCCCTCCTGCTTTCCTCCTTCTCTCATAGATTTAGAGAAGTATTCTGTAGTCACCAGAACCATGAAGACTCCCTTTGTGATATAACAAGACCTGAATTTCAGCCTAAACAGCTTGTAGCTGAGCCATCTTTGTAGAGCATTTGTTATACGTTTTTCTCTTTATTATTTCCATTCTCTACCCTAATGTCACTATCCTCATTCTAATCCCAAGACAAACACATATAACAGATGCACAATATATTACTGTGGCTGGCGTTTGTCATTGGCATGGGCACCTTTCTGTCTAACGGGCTCTATACTGTCAGGAGAGGCCCTAAGAAACAAAGGCCCTGCTGTCAGGATGCTGGCTGTCAGAAGGTGAAACAGGCAAATTCTATGGCTTGCCTTCCTCCATCCCTGAGAAAGGAACAACAGTATCAGATGGATCTGAGATCTTCACTTCAATCTTGTGAGGTAGGAGAGTATGCAGCTACTATACCCACTTTTCCACTAAGGACACCTGAAAATCTTTCAAACAGGTGGGATGTTTCAGATCCAAATGTAATGAATGACGTACAGACATGTGACCTGAGAAGTGAGTTTGTCAATCTTGTTTCATTTGAATATGAGAAATACTTTATAATCTTTACAATCTTCTTTCAGCAGCTTTGTGAGAAACAACTTGCTGCATGAAGGCCATTTCAGTTTCTTCATCCGTCAAGTGAAAATAAGAAGGCTCACAGGGTTTCTGATCCTGACATTCAGAGAAAAGGGCAAGACCAGGACACAGGTCTCCTTAGAGTCTGAGAGCAATTTGCCCAGCTCTTGCTCAGATTGGGGATGGCAACCGAGATGGTGGGGGCAATGCTGCTAAGTTAGGAGGTCAGAAAGCTGCGGTCAGTTTTGGGTTGCTCAGAAGCAGCAAACCTCAGGTGAAGCATCCTCTAACTGGTCTCAGCACAGAAACCAGCTCTGGACACGGACAGTATTCTCTTGGTTTGTTGCTCAATCCTATCCAAAGGGTTTCCTGAAGGTTGGATCTACTTCATCATCATCACTGACTTAATCTTGGCACCAACAGGGATGGGGAAGAGGGGCATGAGCTACAGAAAGGACAGAGTCCTGATTCTCAGACCCGCTCTGATCTTCACCATCAGCCCTGCCAGGCTTCCCTCATACAGGCGCACTGCTTATTTCACTGAGCTTCAGTATTTCCACATGAGTGGTTAGAGACAGACTTTGGCCCAGTGGCAACAGACCAGTAGTTCAGGGAGAGGAATCCCTGGATTCCAGGCTCAGCTCAGTTCAAGGGGACCCTTGTCCTTGGCAGGGCTCTCCAAAATTCCTGCAGTCCAGGTGAAATTCCAAGGCCTCTGGCTAGGATGGGGCCTCTCTCAGTCGTCCCCATCCAGGGAGCAAATGGTCAGAGGAGCGGTGTTGTTGGCACCAATGCTGTAGCAAGGACTAAAATAGGGTAGGAGGCGCCCAGGGAAGGGATAGTGGGGGAAAGTAAAAATGTGGGAGCCATTGTCAGTCACATTGTAGAAGGAGATATCATGGGCCTCATAATCCAGGAAGACTCCCACCCGGCGGGGAGGGACTGGCAAGGACAGGAGGGGGTATTCATCAGTGCCTGCCCGGTACTCATTTCCCTTCCTCAGCCTTATCACCCAGAATCCATAGTGGGGGGATAAATAGACCACCTCCTTCCGATCTACATTTTCCTTACACACGCCCAGGCCCCATTCAGACCTGTCTCCCACCTCCACCTCCCAGTAGTGGCGGCCTGAGGAGATGCACTGGCTGCCCAAAACAATGTTGTAGCGGTAAAATCGCTCAGGATTGTCTGGCAGTTTCTGCTTGGTGTCTCCATAGCGCACACATTTTCTGTCCTCAGACACGATGAGGCGGGAATAAGCAGTGTCTGGATCCAGGCGCACGTCAGCTAGGAAACAAAATCCGGGATGGTAACACTGATACAGAGCCTGATCTGATACAGTGGTACACCGTATACAGATACACTGATACAGCGGCCATGGGTGAGCTCTCCCTGATAAATACAGCCACAGATTTCTCAGTGATGGGGTGGGGGATGGATGGGAAATCCATAAGGCACTGGACTATTTTATTTCTCTGGAAGGGTCCCTCCCAGTGCCCATCACAATCTCCCCCAGCATTCATTACCTGCATATGTCTTCAGGACCTCTCTTAGCCCCAGCACACGGCAATCCGTCTTCAGTTCCAAGGAGACTGGTTCTGGCCGCTGCAGGCTCCAAGACTTGCTCCTAGTAGAGGAGGGGTAAGCCTTGGGGCCAGAAATCCTGGCTCTGCCACACAGGATTTCCCTTATGGCAAGGAAGAGGGGTTTGGCCAGGGACATCGTAAGTCGGGTGACCCCGCCCAGCAACACCAGGCCAAGGAGAGAGGTGATGAGTGTTTGACAGAGCCCAAATGGTTTGTGGCACAGAGAGGAGAGCACTCGCATTCCTGTGCTGTGGGAAGGGTTAGACGTGCACTTGACATCAGGAGCGGAAGAGGAGTGCCAAAGAGGAGAAAGGCTGATACTCAGAGCTCAGAACATAATGGAGACATCTGCAGTCTTTTTCCCTCCTTGGGAGATCTACTTGAAACTGTGAATTTTATAATTTACTTGAAATTCTTATTGGTAATATGTGAAATGAATTTGAGCAAGTACAAAGAAGAAAAAAAGAAAGATGAACAAAGCTTCTTCAGCCAATACAGCGAAAGTGGGGGAAGATTATGGACCAGCATCTGCTTTTCAGCAGGTACTGGCACATATTCCTTCCTCTTCTGGGTCTGGCCAGGACCGATTTTGCCTTATGGGGCTCTCAAGGGCTGCAAGGATGGGAACATACCTGTTTAAGACTTCCTGAATACCCTGGAAGGAGAAAAAATAAGCAGCACCTGAGTATGCGCTATTTCTTGCAGGGACCGGACAGACACCGAGCTCTGGGAGGGGGTTTCCTTAAGGGAAAGGGCTGCAGAGAGCAAGGCTGGAGAGAAGGCATGCAAGGGTAGAGGGGAGAAGCCTACAGGAGGGGAGCATGGCAGGCCAAGCTCTGGTTGGACTGTCCAATTTCAGGCTTCATCTCAAGACTCTCAGGCCAGAAGGTGGGTGACGCCCCATCTAGGAGGCTACAACTACAAGGGGCCGGGTCACCCACCCACCTAAGGATAGAACAGAAGGCATTAGCAAGGAAGGGTAAGGGATCTACATGTGTCTCACAGGCCCCACTGAAGACCAGGGAATCCTCTCTCCTGGAGTCCCAGGCTATCTTCAGCTCTCACTCAAGGTTCCCAGGGAAACCTGCTACTCACCTGCAGCATCCAGCGGACAGGCCTCTGAGACCTCTCTTCCAGCTCCGCAATCATCCTCCACAGGACCCGGCTCTGCTGCAGGAGCTCATTGTGATTCATCTCCAGTTTTTGCATGGTCTCCCCCTCCTCCTGCTCTAGGCTGGCCAGAGCTGCAGCTGCCTCTACCTCCAGCCGCCGCCCTGGTGGCTGGTTTTTCTGTAGTAATCGCCGATACTTCTCAAACTCCCACATGATACTCTGCTTTCGGGTTTCCACCTGTATCTGCAGAGCCAAGATCAGAAATCAGCACTGATATTGTTCGTGTAAGGGCCATCCAGGATTAAGGACACTGTCATATACATACACATTGGCTCTGGAATGTTCTGGTACCAACCATGTGCCTGGCACTTTAGATGCCAAGATAAAGGATACTATTTTTCTGACCTTTCTGTTCCCACAGCTCAGTACATGCTTCTGGGTCCCTATACCTACTCTCATCGACCCCAGTAGGGCCCAGGTTATTATCTTGGTACTATATGCTCTAGACTATTTTCTATTTTCAGAATAATATATTCTATTTTCAGAATAATGACCAGAAGCATTACACTTAAGCCTCTAAGGCAGTGTAACCTAGCTACACTGTTAGATGCTTTTGCTTCTCATTCATATTATATCAATCCAATATGATGTTTGAGACTGGTTCAATGTTACCTTTTATTGATCAAAAGTTCTGAAAGTTTGGAAGTTATGGGCCTCAAATTTATTTCAGAGGTGATTTTCTAATATTTTAATAACTTAACTTTTAGTAAATATGCTCTAACTGGGGAAAGAGAAACAGAAACCATGCTTTACTACGCATTGTACAAGTGATACCACTGTGAGCTAACGCATTAGTGAGGTACATACTTTTCCTTGCTCACATATGTGGACACAAGTGCAGAGGTTATCCCTGTATCACACTCAAGAAACCTGAATTGAGAAGTTCTATGGCCTGCCTGAAGTCCCATGCCTGGTAGAGAAGCTAGTATGAGGACCCCTGGCCATCTAACTTCAAACCCCACGTTCAGCCTCACAGAGATGAGGAGGCTTCCATGGGTCAGCTCCAGGACAACACAGGGACCACACAAGCTCCTTCCCCCAGGTGGCAACCTGCCTTCCAGTTGGCAGTTCGTTTCCTCTCACCAACTTCCAGCTTCCAGGCCTCTTCTTGCTCTTTCCTCAGATGTTCCAGAGCCTCATGCAGTTTCCACTGAAAGAGATAAAAACCTCATGAGGACACCTTGGGCAGCCTGAGTTGATAATGAGGCTTCCTAGCATAGGTAAGTGATGGGGATACAAGTGTCCCTCAGAGGATGGGCCAGGATGAATGCTGGGAGAAAAAGGAATGCCACAGAGGGAGCAGATTCCTGCACAGATGACATCCAAGGTAACTTTTGATTTGAGAATCATTTCCACTCCCACATTCTCTAAGTTTCTGTAAAGTAGAAAAAAAGGTCCATTTCCAACCTTGCTAGAAAACTACTTTGGACTTTCCTCTCAATGCCTCTTGTTATCCTTATCTGCCTTGTTATGCTATGGACTCCTAAAATCTTCATATTCAAAGAGTGGTCCAAGCAATGTGCAGCAATAGCATCACCCGGGAGCTTGGTGGAGATGCAGAATCTCAGGCATCACTCCAGACCTCCTGAATGAGAATCCGAATGTTAACAAGATCCTTGGTGGTTCAAATGCACATTAAAGGTAAGAAGCACTATCCTAGAAGACTAACGCAAGAGATTACTACTAGACGGCATAAAGTATTTGTGGGGAATCAGAATTGGCCACCCCAAAATGTGTCTCTTTGCCTTGTCTTGATTATTTTTTAGAACAAAAGCCTCTAAAAGAAACTTTGACCTTCCCCCCTAACTGCCTGAAACGGTTTAAAATAAAAGGCCTTTTTTTAGAAATTCTTCTCACATAGGAAAATAGCTAGTTCACAGATTTGTCTTATACACTAACCTTCTAATCTGAACTTCAAGAAAGAGAATTAAGACCAGTACAGATCAATGGATCACAGAATCATTGGGATAAGGACTGTGATAAAGATGTGTCAGCATTGACATTTGAGGAAAGAGCTAGAAGCTGGAAGTTGATTAGGATAGCTATAAAAGGAGCAGCAGGTACGTCAGAGATGACTTTCCCCCGCAAAAAAATGCTTGGTAGAGGAGAAAGAATACCAGCAGAAGAGCAAGAAGACCAGAGCCCTAACTTTTCGTCTTCCTTTAACTACCTCAACCTAAAGTCAGAAGCGGCCTGACAAGGTCAGATTAGATAATCTCATTCAACCCTAAATGACTCAGCCACGGTCGCTTTTTAGCTTTAAAACCAATGAGCATGATCTCAAATCTCTAAGCCTCAGTTTTGTCTATAAAAAGATGGAGTTGGAGCCGGCCCGGTGGCGCAAGCAGTTAAGTACGCGCTCTCCGCTGTGGAATTCACCGGTTCGGATCCTGGGCGCACACCGATGCACCACTTGGCAAGCCGTGCTGTGGCGGCATCCCATATAAAGTGGAGGAAGATGGGCATGGAGGTTAGCCCAGGGCCAGTCTTCCTTAGCAAAAAAAGAGAAGGATTGGCAGATGTTAGCATAGGGCTGATCTTCCTCACAAAAAAAAAAAAAAAAAAAAAAGATGGAGTTAATGTGGCTCACCCAAGGTCAAATGACTATTTGTGGCCTTGCCAGGAGGAGTTCAGTTTCTGACAGGTGCAGCCTTAACTACCTCATGCCCAAACTCTTTCAAGGAACCTAAAACCCCAGCTAAACCAAACTGTATGGAAAGCATCATTGGGTTAGGCATTCAGCCATACTGGGATCGGGGATGGGGTGTGGAAGTGGGAGGGAAGGAACTCAAGGGAGGTCATAAGTGCAAGGAGAGAGTGGCTCATGTATCAGGTACCAGGGAGCTGTGGGTGTGAAGAGCCAAAGAAATGAGTCTCATTTTGTCCCTGGGGCCCCAGGTCAAGTCTTTTCTCTAGAGATAGCCAAGTGAGGGGCAGAGGAGAAACTGGGGTGTCTAGCCTCCATCTTCTACCTTATACTCCCAGGTGACATCCTCCATGGGCACGACACTGTGGGTCTCATGCTCGGGGAACCGGCTGCAGGCCTCACACATGATCAGGCCATCCTCTTTGCAGAACATCTTCAGCTGTTCCCTGTGGAGCTCACAAACATCCCCCTTCCACCCCATTCCTGGGTGCAGCCCTAGCAGACGGACTTTTTCTACAACACTGGCCAGCTGCCAATTAGGCCGCAGGTTCCTTGGCTGCACAGCAGCCCGGCAGAGAGGACATGTGTAACCACAGTTCTCAGATTCTCCTGGGACCCCCCAGAGTCGAGAGAGACAACTGTGGCAGAAGCTGTGGCCACAGTCGATGCTCACGGGCTCCCTCAGGAAGGTCATACAGATGGGACAGGCCACTTCTTCCATAACGGCTTCTACCAATGCTGCAGGATCCATGGCTCCTTCTCACACTCTCCTCAGAACACGAAATAAACCAGGCAGAGGTCATGAAGCCTGAGCAAAAGAAAATAAAAACAAGTAAGAGAAAAAAGTAATAGAAAAGCAGAGAGATCAGTAAAGGGATAATTAGTGACTGAAAAAACAACTTCCTCCTTTGGATCCTTTATTGACCTTGTTTAATAAGCACTGGCCTTCCCAACTGAAGTTCTGACTGCATCATATTACTCATACCACAGAAATATCTGGGGATGCACAAGTGAGTAGATGTTAGGAGTTCTCAGTCTTCATTCATTTGGTCTTCTCTGACCAGAAATACCCTTAGCCTCGCTCTCTGGTATGTTTAAACATATAAATATATATCTCAAGGTACAGAAAAGGTACTATGCCAGAAACCCATTGTCTAAATGCTCAATTTGTTTTCTTGTGTTGCATACTGAAGTGTAAGGTGTAACGGAATCAGCAATACTTACCCGACACCCTGTAAACCCTGGCCACTCCTCTAGCACTAACATTCACTAACATGCCAAGACCCTCTCTTCAGTGATATGTTAGAAGCATGTATGAAGAAACTCTCCTTGGAAGATAAAAACAAAGGTCATCTGATGATAATGAAACCCATATTGATGAATTCACTACTCCAGCAAAAAATTGAGATATCTGCCAGGGCCACATATGAGTACAGAACTTGAATGGTCAACAGCAGACTCTTGGCACAGTTGGCAATACTTATTTGTTCATTTTGCAGGTTCATATTACTAGCTAGAGTCTGTAAATGGAAGAGCCATGTTGGTCTTAGTCACTGCTGTATCCTGAGCACCTCAACAGTGCCTGTCCTGCAGTTACTGCTGAAAAAACATGTGTCGAATGAATAAATCAGCTAGACAGAAAATCGTTCCTAAACCCAAAATGTTTCTATAATTTGTTAGGTAATTGAGAGCACATTTTACATTAATAATAATAGCAAGCACCCCTTAAGCACTTACACTATGTGGCAGGCACTATTCTGGGGGTTGAACACGGATTAACTCAGTTTATTTCGCAACCCTAAGTAGAAACCATTATTCTACCGTTCTTATTTTACAGGTGCTTAGCCTGGGCTCCACCATTCTATCTTGGGCAAATTACTTGGCCTCTCCAGCTTCAAGATATAACAAAAATTCAAGAGGAGAGAGAAATCACTGTGGTTTAAGGGTAGAACAGTAAGGCTTCCTGAAGGAAGTGGGGCAGTAAGTAGATTTTGCAGGGCTGCCTGTTATGGGGCATCAGGAGGTCCTGCCTTCTCACTGGCCTCACTGCTTCCTACTTTTGCTCCTCCCACTATCACTACCAAACTGTAGGATCCAGTATCCTAGATCCTAGTTCTACTAAATCACTAACCTACTAAAGAGCCTATCCTGGCTCCTCAGGACCCAGTCCAACAAGAAGCTCTCTCTCTTCACCCTGAAACAGCACCTGTGCTCAGTCAAGCAAGGGGAGAAACTTCCACACTTTCCTGCAGACCCCATGTCCACTCATTCTACCCCACTTGGCTTCCTGCTCTTCTCCCAGCTTGAAATGACCTCTCCACGATCCTGCTCTTAACATCATTTGAATGATGTATCGTGTATGAGCATCATGTATGTTTTTGTCTTACTTCCCACACTAGAAGTTTCATGAGGAGAGTGACATCATCTGTTTTATTCGCTACTATATCCCAACGCCAAGAACAGTGCCTCAAATATTTTTGAATATATGAGAATTAAATGTAAATGCTGGTATTAGACTGGAAGTGGAAGAAGTGTCAATATCCTCATCTAACACAGAGGGGCACCAAGAACTACCACCTAAAGCTGATACAACAACAGGTTGATATCTATGATTTAAAGCTACAATGATCAACGAAAGAATGAAAATAGCAACTGAAAATTGAGAACATGGTGGCAGTAGGGAAGTGAGGTAAAGAAATGTCAAAATGATAAATCAAGAAATACAGTGGAAGTATATTATTTAGATTTAGTAAGGTCATAAAAAGATCTAAACATGAACAAGTTAAAAGTGGTGGATTTAGGGGCAGGTAGCTATTGCTCTTTGAACGAAAGACCTGCTTTATTGTTTTATTTTTTATTATACATAAATTACTTCGACAAAACTTCAATTATTAAACGTTTAATTGCTTTCACCTTGCATTTGGCCAAGAGGAGAGCCAGTCTGGGACACACATTTGAGGGGAGGGGGCGGAGCCTGGAAGACTCGAGAGGCGGGACCAGAGCGGGGAGAAGGGAGGCGGTGACCTCCGGGCTCCGCCGCACAGGGGGATGGTAACCTCCTGGCCACAAGCCTCGGGGCAGGGCCCGAGGGCAGAGGGCGGGTGGGGGCGGAGTAGGGTGAGCCTGCAGGACCTCCGACTTCAGAAAAGGCACAGCTGTCTACCCACCTCCCTCCTCAGCCCAGACTAGCGCCCCGCTGCAGAAACCCAAAGTGGAGAGGCCTGGTTCCCACGACCGAGCGTCCGCAGCGTCAGAAGCCGCTGGTCCGGCAGCGCAGCACTTACCGCCAGCGCGGAAACGACGGCCCCAGCAGCGACCCGCTCGCCGGCCTCTTCCGCAGGACTCCGAGGCCCCGCCCACAAGACCGGAGCCAGTGAGCGGCGGGCACGGCCCGGGCGCCAGAATCCGCCCGGCCCGGACGTCTTTGTGGAAGCAGCCAATCACAGACAGGGATCCGGGCAAGCCTAGCCAATCGGAGATGGCTACGGGAGCTGCACACGCCTCTCGGCGTGCTAGTGTTCTTTCCCCGCCCCTTCCCCCACTCAGAGCCCCTGAAACCAGTCCCAGGACGGGTCAGAGGGTTCATCATCCTGAGTGTGGCCACTCAGGCCGGGTGTTACTGGAGGCCAAGTTGGCTCTTGGCCAAGGAACCCCTTCAGTCTCCGGCTTCCGTTCCTGCTGACTAGTGGCTTTTTAGAGCGAACCTTGTTCTTTCAGGGTAATAGCGCTAGACCTAATGCTGTTCATTTGCCAGTTTTCCACGTCAAACCCGGCAGCCTATGAGTTCAGCCATGTCTGGTTCTGTGACCGAATTTCGCCCTGAGCTGGGCACAGATATACAGTGGACTCTGCGGTTTCCTGCAAGATGAGCGACCTCTCCTGGATCCAGACTGCAGATATTGGGTTCTCAAAAAAAAAGCAAGAAGAAAAAAAAAAAGAAAAAACCTCCTGAGTTTTCCTGGCAAACTCTTATCCTTCAGTACTTCAGCAGGCAGCTTCTCATCACTATCGCCGCAACCCGCCTTTAGAATTAGAGGCAGATACGGGGCACTGGTGGAGTAGAAGTGGAATCCCTGGTCGGAAACTGTTTCAGAAACTGACAGTGTTTGTCCACAACTGGTACTGTCCCTCACTCAAATACACAGACGCAGACATGGACACACACAAACTACTACTGAAGGCAGTGATTTGGGTTTTTCTTTGTACTCCCTGTACCTTGTCCTTTTCCTGATACTTAGGTGTTTACTAAATCAGCAAATAAAAACACATTCTGTCCGCATGGAAAATGACCAGGAAATCCTCCCATTGAAGCCCAGTTCCAAATGATTTCATTGTTGGGGCTGATACTTTTTGGATCCTCATACTGATGTCAGGGCCCAGGCCATGGTTGAAATTCTGAAGGGTGAAGTCTAGAAAATTCTTGAATCAAATGGGGCCATGAGCAAAAAAGGAAGAATAAAAGAGGTAACTGAGGTATGAGCCGGACCCTCTATCTCACCTGGATCTGGAGAAATGGCTGCCCTCACAGAATAGTGAATGGATTAATTGAAACAAGCCACTTGAAACATTATTGAGCATCAGCTTGTTGTAACACTTTGTGCTGGGTGCTGGAATTACAGCTAAAGGCCACGCAGTCTTTGCTCTTAAGGAGCTCAAGATCAAGTTGCACCTCTCTGGAGCTTCTGTGAAGTCAAAACAGTTAATGGGGAGATCTTTTTCATTTGTAGCTTGTAACTGTCTAAACCGACTCTCAAGGGCCCTGGCATAAGGGCACCTTAGAATTGCTGAGGGAGGGGAAGGCTGAGCAGACAGCTTTTTAAGATAGATCAGTCCACTGCCCAAGCACAGAAGCTCTCTTTCCCAGCCTTCCTCAGGGTGCCTTGTTTGCTGTGACAGGCAGACAAGTGCATCCAGGTGAGACTCTGTTTTGGCTACTGAAGGGGAGGAAGACTATCCTTTATCCACCCCGGGTCCTTTCTGGCTGGGCTACAAATTAAATTGAGGTGAAACTGAATAGCAGGAGAAAATCAAAGCTTTATAACATGTATACTTGGGAGAAATCCGAGAAACTGGGTTTCTCGACAAATGGTGGAGGTTTTCACCTTAAATAGCATATTCAGGTAGACAAAGGAGGATGTTGGGGGTGAGGGGGGTCAGCTATGGGAGATTACCAGAAAAGCACAGTAAACAAGAGTGTGCAGATTTAAGTACTAGCCTTCCAAACTGACAAGAGTTTCTAGAGATAAAGTCATCCCCCCTGCTTCCTGGTACAGAGCCAGAGATACCTTGACAAATGGAGATTTTCCTTACAAATGTAATGGTCTCTTACAAAGGGTAACCTCTACTTTTACTTGGTTTTCAGAGCTTTGAAAAGAATGGGTTTAGCAAGGATCCTCCCAGTCTGTCCATATCCAGAGTTATCTATGGTGATGGCCTGTCCTGGGGTTAGGCCTTCTATCTTAAATCCTTTTAGGCAGTTAGTGGGGGGAGAGGTCAAAGTTTCTTTCAGAGTCTTTTGTTCTTGAAAATAATCAAGGTAAAGAGACATGTGTTGAGGTGGCCAATTCTGATCCCCCACAATACATTCCATGGCTGTAACTGTAGGCCCCAGCCTTCTGCCTCAATCCAAGACAGACCAGGACAACAAGGTGGGTGGCTAACTGTGGGATAGTATCTATCTGTGTTCCGGGAGAGGAGCGTCATCAAAGGAGAAGCAAGGGCTGAGAACTGGTTGGGGGGCAGGGAAGGAGGTGCAGGCATTGAGGAAGTAGCTCTAAGGAAGGAGTGGGGAGC